GGACACGTTTTCACCCAAAGTCGCAGATATTAAGAAGCTGTTTGTATGCTTTCCAGCATTAAAAGAATATATTTTATTGCGTTTACTCACTCCGAAAGTCAGTAAATTCATCAAAGCAACCAAGAAAGTATAGAAGATGTTTGACTTTGTTTTCGCAACTCGGTCATGTTGGTAGGAAGACTTAGAAGAACGCACCTTGTTCGAAATCGATTGTATGCATCATCATTTCCAGAGTAGGACCGTGGATGTGGTACATTCGCAGACGTTTCACCGGCCTCGTCAGTGAGTCTCGCCATTCGTAGCACCACACAACAACTCGTCAAAGACACAAATATGACCGAGTTGCGAAAACAAGGTGAAACAACTTGTTAAAACAACGAAAGGAGACTGCCACCACACAAAAGGCCACACAACCTTGGTCTTCATACCTACCGAAGTTTTTATTTAAGAAATACTAATAGCCTCCTGATTTATTTTCTTACTCACTTACGAGTAGTCTCGAAAATTAGCCTTATCTGAGGATAAATGTACTGGCAAATGACATTAGGGAGCCAGAATGACTAAGCCTGTATTCTTGAATAGTCAGCCCAGGCGAAGGTATTGGTGACGCGAACGGAGTGAGGGAGAGATACCTGCGGTGGAAACAAGGCCAGTGTAATTGGCTCCGAGACACCAGATGTGGATCGAGCAAGGAAGGTTAGGCCAATCAGCGGCTGACTTTGAGGGGATTGGTGAAAGCGGTTAGAACAGTTATCTTCTGATTGGCCAACAGTCTTGAGCCAATGGGAAGAGCGGAAATGCGGAATAATGCAAATCGATTTGGCGATCTGGCCGGTCTCGGGCCGGAGTTATTGTTGCAAGTTTGGTCGTGTGAGGTGGTAACAGTGCGAATGGACCTCTTCTATTCCGGCTTCCTTGAGGCTGGAAGACGGCCAAGGGGCAAGCGGTTGGCTGGATTCGTCATGCTTCTCGTTCTTCTCGGCTTCTTGCTCCTGCAACTTGGCCTCAAAAGTTACGTCGACACGACAACCAACCGGAGAAACATCGCCAACGGCCTTGTCGAAGAGGCTACACGCCCTCCGGAAGAGGATCAGGCCCTGTCGGTTCTGACGTCTTTGAATGCAGAGCTGAACCATCTTTTAGAGGAGGATATTCCAAGTTTAGAGGAATTTTCACAGTCGTTTCTAGAACAATGGGCGAAAGATGAGGACTCATTCTGCAATGATGGTAAGTAATGCACACCTCCACTTTGGTCGACGAGGCTCGACGAGTTGACATTGTTATCATTTTGATGTTTGAGAATAGTGCTGCGCTGTGGATGAATCTCTTGAAGATTTCGAGTCTCTGGACTTTTCGCTTCGAGAAAAGTTGGGCTGAAAATGACTCGCAAATCGACCTTACCGACAGCCCAATTCGGGTTGATGCTAAACTTTTGTAACTGGTGAAATGTGCTGGCGAGACTTCGGTGAGGTTGCAGTAGCTTTCATTTCATGCAAAGAAGCGAGTGGAAGAGATTCGCAAATTGGCCGCACCTGCATTTTAAGAAGGATTGAAGGTATGAAAAGCAAGATGGTGTGGCGCTTTGTGTGGGCGCAGTCTTCTTTCGTTGTTTTAAGAAGTTGTTTCACCTTGTTTTCGCAACTCGGTCATTTTGGTAGGAAGACTTAGAAGTACGCACCTTGTCCGCAGTCCATTGAATGCATCATCATTTCCAGAGGAGGACTCTCGTATTAGGAATGTACCATGTCCACGGTGAGTCTTGCCATTTTTAGCCTCACACAACAACTCGTCAATAGAGACATGTGAAGCCGATCCTTTGACCAAACGTGTGCTAAACAGTTGTGATATCTCCCATTTTGCCCTGGGTTATTCACATTTCCTATAGCCTCCAATCACGCCTTCGCTGTCACAATATTTTACTTGCTGTATTAAATGTGGTACGTTGTGACCTTTTGAGCGGCTTTCGTGACAACCCTT